AAAAAAAAAAAAAAAAAAAAAAAAAAAAAAATATATATATATATATATATATATTATATTTATTTTTTTATTTTTTACATATTTTGAATCTTCTTTTTTTCCATTATGGCATATTCATGATAGCTGTAAATTCAGTTTTTTTGTTCCTTCTGTGTCTCATTTCACATTGGAATGCAAAATCTGCTTTTGTTTTGAATTTGATTATTAGAAAAACACTCAATTTATGGTTTATGAGCAGTCTTTGGAAAGGAGATGTTTTGGGGACATTTCAAGCTCTCTTTGAGGCCCGGGGTCAAAGCTCTCACAACAGTTGGGCAACAGAGAGAGGCTCATTGCAGAACATTTGTTTGGGGGTTGAAAAGGGGGAATATTTTTAGAAATATTGTTGACATTGTGATTCAGTGAGGGACAGAGCGCTGACCTGAAATGCGGATGGTAAATAGAACAGAAAAATATGCTGGCATAGATCTGTGTTTTACAAGCAAAGCTGATAGGACAATGCTCCTCAGAGCAGCCTTCAGTTAAAAAGGCCTATGGGTGAATCTTACAAAGCCGGTGAAGAACACGTGAGGGTCATATCTAAGTTTAAAACATGGAATAAAATTATGATATGGGAATAGACTTTTTAATCTTGCGATTATTTAATGAAAGATTTTTTGGTTACCAACATTCTTCGAAATATGTCCTTCAAGGGAAAAATGTGCTTAATATTTTTCACTCATCATATTTAATTTATCTCATTCAGTGCTCAATATTTTGTCCCCGAATCGCAGTGATCAGACACCACTAGACTCTGGCCCCGTCCTATGGCAGACAGCCACGGCATATGGTCCTGATCTACTTTGCCACGCGGCTGATCAGGCCTTGAGATGCTTAATGTCTTTTAATCTATTTTAAGTTAATAATTTCCATCTCATACATTCCTCAGCTCAAGAATGTCTTTCACACCTTAGCTGGTAATGATCTGCATATGGTTTTCTGTTTCCATTGGGCTGTTAGAAATAAGAAATAAACAGAGCCCTGCAAAGGTGGCAGGAAGTTGCCAAAATATCAGCAGTGGCCCGTTCCCGGGGCATTCCAGCACCTGGGAAGTTCTGCCTCTTATCTGAACGGCACTGCAGACTCCTGCACTCAAAACAGATGTGCTGTACAGAGCATTAGCGATAATCACCTTTCCTTGTGTGCAATCTTCATTTTGATCTCTCTCTCTCTCTCTCTCTCTCTCTCTCTCTCTCTCTCTCTCTCATGTGTAGCCTACATGCACATGCTCCATGAGATAATAATCAAAACTGTTCATGGAGAAAATGTGGTGCTGCTTGTTTGTGCAAAATTCACCTCCACAATGCTAGGGTGTAGTTTCTGTCACTGCAGTTGCTAGGGTGTTCTGGGTGGTTGCCTTGTGGTTTTCTTGGGTATTATTGGCATATGTATATGTGGATGCTTTATTAGTGGCTGTTTCTATGGGCTGCTATACGTAAGCACCACATTAAAAAGGTACCATAGTTTGAAAACCTGTAATATTGAGTTAATATATATATTAAAACACAAACCAACACATTCTCACCTGTGAAAGGATGTCCAGTTTCTTCAGGATTTTGCGCAGTGTTGAGGCATCTGGGAAAACTCTTTGATTTTTAGTGTGAGTGACAACACACTGACTGTTCCAAGATGGCGGATGTGTTGACGTCGAATGTGGCGTCTACCTTTTTTTTTTTTTTTTTAAACCATTTTATGCGGTGTCAAAGGTGTTCTGGGGGTGTGTTTTTTTTTCGTAGTTGTTTATTGGCAAAGATCCTACCATAGACCTTTAGTCAGGGTGGCATATTTAATTTCTGAATGAAAATGAGGACATGAGAGATAGAAGTACAATGTGTTCAATGGATTATACTGTTGTTTAACAACATACCGACTGTACACATGTGACTTTCAGTAGACAAAAACTCCAGAAGTTTCGAAAGTTGTAAGTTGTGAAAATTGCATGTGATCTTTAATCTTTATACAGTGCGTGTCATTGTAAAGACTGTAAGTCTATTCCTCACAGCCTCGTTTTCATCTGCATAAAATTCAATATAGTTTCTAAACTGACTAAAGTCTATATGTCTGTATAACATGCTAGTTTAATACTCTGGGTCAGGGATTTGTTTGATGGATGACTAATGAATGATGAACCTTTTTAGGACCCACCTCACACTTACTCTTTTTTTTTTTTTTTGCCATCTGTTTTCATCTCTTATTTCTCTGTGATTGTGAAATGAAGGTGTGTAACTTTGTAAACAGGTCTTGTCCTGGCTTGAGGGAGGTATTTTTCCACCATTGTGTTTCATCTTGGTCTTAACATGTTGAGCTAAAGAGTGTTTGCATTGTTGATGTGGATGTGGGTTCATAACTGGGGATTCAAACGCTTCCCACATGACTGGTCTTTTATGAACAGGTTTGGTGATGTTGTATAAATGAAACATGATAAAGCTGCATCTCTGGCACACTTGAAGCAGGAAACAGGAGATCTGTCTGGTTCCTAGTGAAAGAGATTTTATCCTATGGTTGTTGGCATCTGTTGTAACTGGCATGCGTAGTTGAGTTTAGTATGTAATGGTTGTCATTAAATAGGGCAGAAATCAACTATGAGTGATTTATAGATTTGTCTTAAGCCGCGGTCACACTGCAGTTTTCGTTCCATTGACTTCCATTCATACATATGCGAATGCGTCAGACCGGAAACGTGAAAAGTATCGCATTTCGCTGCATTACAAGGTTTAAGATTTGTGACCTGCGAATTCGTATCACGTGAAACTGTGTGACCAACAGCAGATCGATACGTCACAGCATGACCTCGTAGCTGAGTTAACATAAATTTAAAGGGGTCATATGATGCTGCTAAAAAGAACATTATTTTGTGTATTTGGTGTAATGAAATGTGTTTATGCGGTTTAAAGTTCAAAAAACACATTATTTTCTACATACTGTACATTATTGTTTCTCTTCTATGCCCCGCCTTTTTGAAACGCGTTGATTTTTTTGAAAAGCCTTTTTGAAAGCTCATCGGTCTGAAAAGCGAGGTGTGCTCTGATTGGCCAGCTATCCAGTGCGTTATGATTGGCCGTCCGGCGATCCACAGCACTAAGTTGATGTATTCCCTCAGCAACCAGCACAGAGCAGCTCTAGGCATGACAAAGCGGATATCGTCCTCTTTTGGAAGACCAAACAAAGTAGTTTCGCTTTCACAACAAAACACACAGCTCTTCACGACATGGCGGCGGCAACAACAATACTACAGCGAGAATAAAAGTTACGCCTACTTTCTTTGCGTGAACATTTGGGCGGCGTTATGCAAATCTTCCCACATAGTGACGTAGATATGTGGGGGTGTGTTAGAATGAGCCGTTTTAGGTAGGCGTGGTTAACTCTCAACTTTTATAAAGAATATCTCTTTGGATTTGAGACTTTAGTCTTTGCAACTTTACAGATCTTCTTTATGCACCAAGAGCTTGTAACACTCCAAAGAGAAAGGAAAAATTTGAAATCGCATCATATGACCCCTTTAAAACTGCAGCACTGCAGGAAAGTGCATTAAGTTGTATGTTTTTACATTTTAGATGTATTATTATTTGTTATGTGTTGAATTTAAGTTTTTAAAAAGATGCTGCAGAGCGTGACGTCATATCACGACTGGCAGCGCATGAAGAAATTTTGCATGCTCAAAGTCTAGTGTGACCGCAGCTTTATGTCCACTGGTCTGCTGCTTTGGTCAAAGTTGGTCTTCAGTGTAGTCTGATTGCTTTCAATACAAGTCATCTAGACCATTTTGAGAGATGTAAACAATAACAATCTAACACATGGTCCTAATGCATTTCCGGTTGTACACTTTTAATTTCCTAATAACTTCTGGGACGGCAAAAAGTTCCACATCTTGATAAAAACATGTTATGACAGCCGTGTTAACATTAGTTGCGATTGAAGTGCCCTCTGTTGCTGTTTTGAAATAGTTTGACGACAAGCAGGAAATGTTCATGGGTCAGTAACATCACCACATTGAAATGTCTAGATGCACAATTACAGCTGGAAAAATGCATCTTTGATATGCATAATTTTTCAAATTTGTTACTGATATTGAAGAATTTTTACATGTATCAAAAAAGTTGCAGAAAGCACGCTACTGCCAAAAATCACGCCATAGCCAAATCTCACAATGAAAATTATGCTCCTTTTTTAACACATTTGTGTATAGTTACTAAATTTCAGATAAAGTTATATCACACAGGAGCATGACCCATCTTTTTCGTTATCGTTCACTGGTGTAAATCCAAAGTTCTGTCATGAAACTCTAGATGGCGCTGGCCGATAGGTTCAAAAACAATCTGGCATAATGACATCATTATTCACATGGCGCAGCTGATTGGTTCTTTTCGTATCAGCAGCCACTGAGCTCGCTGCTCATCATTCAAATTCTCAGCTAGTGCTTGCTGTAGCAGTTGCAGTGCACTTAAGAAACTCTCCACCTTCCCCAGCTCCACCTGTATAGATCTGCTACGGGGTCATTTTATATAAGGGGTAATTTCATGTATGTTATGTGCAGCAGCAGTATTTCTTACATGCTCACAGCAGCATATCTGTGGATGTATTGGCAGTAGTAAGTATTAGGGTTGGGCCGATAGACGATGCCATCGTCCATCACCGATGGCTGACAGACATCACGATGTTAAGCTGACATCGTGATTACCCCCCAACCCCCCACCACCCCCTCTCCCGCAATCCGCCGCATCCCAGTTCCGTGTTCGGAAAGGACCGCTAGCAAGCGGTTAACCTTTTAGTGGCTCCGTATAACGCATTATTTGTTTCACGCTTCCGGCACACCCCTACACCCCTATGTCATTAATGTAATTAGTTTGAATCGAGAGGTTTAATCCACGTCTTCTGTAGAGACATGATTG